GCCCCCGGGAAAGTACTTCAATTGAAAAACACAATGGTCACCGGAGGGGGCACCAACAATAGTTATTCTTCAGTAGTGAAAGTTCAACAACAACAACAACAACAACAACAACAACAACAACAACAACAACAACAACAACAACAACAACAACAACAACACCAACACCAACACCAACACCAACAACAACAACAACAACCGCAACAGCAACAGCAACAGCAACAGCAACAACGTGAGTATCTGTGCGACGGCCTCATCGCGAGGATCGACGTTTTACTTTTGCAGCCCAGGTGCGCCTCACCCTGGATTGGCGCTCCACGGGGCCCTCCTTGGATCCGCGGCTGTGCGCTGTGCTCCCGGAGCGCGCGCTACCGCCCGCCCCCTCCAGCGCTGACGGTCCTGCTGCTGACGTGCGCCACTCATTGCCGCCCAGGGGGCCTGGCCCGTTGGCGCTGGCTTGGCGCCGCCTCCCACCGGGTCCGCCGTGCGCGTTGCCCGCCGTCCCCGTGCCGCTGCCCCGTGAGGGGCCGACGCTCTTCCCTTGCACCTGCCCCCTCTCCAGGGCTGACCCGTGGCAATTGGCCCCGCTCAGCTTGGCTTGGGCTCTTTGAGCGCTCGAGCGTCTTTTGCCCGGGCTGCGTGCGACAGAAAAGTATGCTTTTGTGTGTGCGTTTCCGGCCCCTGCCCGCCTGATCTGCCAGGCGACGCTCGGCCGCTTTCCACCTTGCATGCTGCATGGCCGCTTGCCGGCATCTTCCACGGGCGCGCTGCGTTTCTGCGCCTTCTTTTCTGCTTGCGACTACCTCTCTTCGAGTCCACCTGCATTCTACGCCAGGTGGGCTTCGACTGGGCGTGCCCCAGCTGAGAGCTCGCGACGGTGCTGCCACCTCGCCGCTGGAGAAAACGTGTGTGTATGTGTGTGCGTTTGTGTGTGTGTGTTTATGTTTATGTTTGTGTTTGTTTGTATGCGTGCTTGTGTGTTTGTCTGTGTTTGTCTGTGTGATGTACGCTTGTTTGTGTGTGTTTGTGTGTGTTTGTGTGTGCTTATGTGCGTTTGTGTGCGCGTTTGTGTGTGCATGTGTGTTGTGCGTGTGTGGGTGTGTAACCGAGGGAGGTCCTTAGTTTTGAGGATACCCCTCTCGCGTTTCTTTCGGCGGGGAATACACTCCCCCCTCCTCCTTCTCGTAATTGTAGTCGTAGTCTTAATGGTATGTGCGGCGGCGAACTATTTGTAGTTGTAGCCGTTGCCGTAGCCGTAGTCGCATCTTGGTCGTAGTCTGAATCGTAGTCGTTGTCGTCGTCGTCGTCGTTGTTGCGCGGCGGGTGCCGCGGAGAAATAGCTGTGGTCTTTGATTGGTGGGACCCCAGTCCGTCAATAAGGGCGTCGAAGGGATATTTAGTTTCCACTATTAGTGGCGGGTTCTATTGACCAATCTCGATTATTGTATGTTGTGTTGTGTGGTGTGCATGCGTGTGCTTTTGTGCATGCGTGTGTGTGTGCATGTGTGTGTTTGTGTTGCGTTGTGTGTTGTGTGTTGTATATATATATATAGTCGTTGTGTGTCTGTTTGCGTGTTTTTGTGTGGGTGTATTTTGTGTTTTGTGATTGTGCGCTGTGCTTGTGTGTGTGTGTTTGCGAGCAGAGTGAATCCTTGTTGGCGAGCCCTGCGTTACACTGTCTGGCTGCCGCGTGAGTGCCCGGCGCGTCTTCTAGTTATGTTGCCCGTTTCCGACTCCGCCGCGTCGCTGCGCGCGCGGCCGCGGCGCTAAACATAGTGTGTTTGTGTGTTTGAGTGTTGGTTTGATTGTTTGTGTGCTTGCGTGTTTGTTTGTGTTGTTTGCGCGTTTGCATGTGTGTGTGTGTGTTTGGAATGTTGCTCGCTAGGCTGCTTGTTTGGTTGTGTGTATGTGCGTGTGTGTATGTCCTTTTGCGTGTGCGCGTGTGTGTGTGTGTGTTGTGTGTTGTGTTGCTGCCTGTGTGGCTTGTACTGTGTGTGGGCGTATATTGTGTGCGCGTGTAGGGGCGTATGCGCGCGTGTGTTGATTCCCCATCGGAGCTTGCCTACGTCGGGGTCCTAGCGGATTCATTCTCCAATCAGAGCTTGCCCCTGTAGGGGTCCTAGCGGATTCAAATGGTTAGGTGAGGTTTGTTACCGATTTCCGCGGCCCGCCCGGGTGCCCAGGTGCCTGGGTTCCCGGGTGCTTGATAGCCCTATAGCCCTGTAGCCCTATAGCCCTATAGCCCCATAGCCCTACAGCCCTAGAGCCAAATAGCTCTATATGCCTATAGCCCTACAGCCTTATAGTCTTATAGCTCTATAGCCCTAGAGCCCTATAGCCCCACAGCCTCACAGCCCTATAGTCATATAACCCGATAGCCCAATAGCACTATACCCTCATAGCCCTATAGCCCTATATTCATTTAGCCCAAGTGCCCAATAGCCCTATAGACCTATAGCCCTATATCCCTATAGCCGTATAGCCCAATAGCTTGATAGCCCTGTAGCCCTACAGCCCTATAGCTCTATATACATATATAGATATGCCTCTAGCCCTATAGGGCCTATAGCCCTGTGTCCCTATAGCCCTATAGCCATATGGTCCTAGAACCCTATAGCCCCATAGCCATATATATTCATAGCCCTATGGCATCATAGCGTTACAGTCACATAGCCCCAGAGACCCAGAGCCCCATAACCCAATAGCCCTACAGCCCTATAGCTCTATGTCCCTATAGCCCTAGAGCCCTACAGATCTATAGCCCTACGGCCCGATAGCACTATAGCCCCATAGCCCTATAGCCCCATAGCCCGCCCCATAGCCGAATAGCCCCATAGCCCTTAAGCCCTAAAAAGACCCAGATTGAAGCTATTCTCCGGTATCATTCCCCAATCAGAGCTTGCCTCTGTAGGGGTCCTAGCGGATTCATATGGTTAGGACAGCTGCGTCGCCGATTTTGGCGGCCCGCCCGGGTGTCCGGCCCAGGAGCTGCGTCGACGATTTGGGCGGCCCGCCCGGGTGCCCCATAGCCCTATAGCCCTACAGCCCTATAGCGCTATAGCCCTGTAGCCCAATAGCCCAATAACCCTACAGCCCTATAGCCCTATAGCCCTATGGCCCTATAGCCCTCTAGCCCTATGGCCCAATGGCCCTATAGCCCAAGAACCCTAGAGCCCTATAGCCCTAAAGCCCAACAGCCCAATAGCCCTATAGCCCTATAGCCCCATAGCCCCCAAAAAGGTTATGATTGGGGTTTCTCTCCGGTATCATATAGTTAGGTGAGATTAGTCACCGATTTCCGCGGCCCGCCCGGGTGCCTGGTGCCTTATCAGCCCTATAGCTTTACAATGCTATGGCCCTATACCCCTATAGTCTTATGCCCCTATAGCCCCACAGCAAAATTTCCCTATAGCCCTATAGCCCTATAGTCCTATAGCCTTATAGTCTTGTAGCCCTATAGCCGTAGAGCCCTAGAGCCCTATAGCTCCATAACCCTATGGCCCTATAGCCCAATAGCCATATAGCCCCATAGCCCTATAGCCCTAGAGCCCCATTGGCCTATAGCGCAATTGCCCAATAGTCCTATAGCCCTAAATCGCTATAACCATATAGCCTTATAGCCTTCTAGCTTCATAGCCCTATAGCCCTATAGTTCTATATGCATATAGTCCTGTAGCCATATAGCCCCATTGTCCTATCCCTATAGCCGTATATCCCTATAGACTCATAGCCCTATGGCTCGATAGCCCTGTAGCCCCAGAGCCCTATAGCCCTATAGCCCGAGAACCCTAGAGCCCTATAGCCCTGTAGCCCAACAGCCCAATTGCCCTATAGCCCTCTAGCCCTATAGCCCCATAGCCCGATAGCCCTATAGCCCCATAGCCCCCCAAAAGGTTAGGATTGGGGTTTCTCTCCAGTATCATATCTAGGTGAGGTTCGTCACCGATTTCCGCGGCCCGCCCAGGTGCCTGGTGCCTGATCAGCCCTATAGCTTTGCAATACTATGGCCCTATACCCCTATAGTCTTATGTCCCTATAGCCCCATAGCAAAATTTCCCTATAGCCCAATAGCCCTATAGCCCTATAGTCCTATAGCCTTATAGTCTTGTAGCCCTATAGTCCTAGAGCCCTAGAGCCCTATAGCTCCATAACCCTATGGCCCCATAGCCCGATAGCCCAATAGCCATATAGCCCCATAGCCCTAGAGCCCTAGAGCCCCATTGCCCTATAGCGCAATTGCCCTATAGCCCGAAATCCCTATAGCCATGTAACCATATAGCCTAGTAGCCTCCTAGCTCTATAGCCCTATAGCCATATACCTCTATATGCATATAGTCATGTAGCCATATAGCCCCAGGGCCCTAAAGCCCTATAGACTCATAGCCCTATGACTCGATAGCCCTATAGCCCCATAGCCCCAGAGCCCCAGAGCCCCATAGCCCCATAGCCCCATAGCCCTATAGCCCTATGGCCCTGTATCCCTATAGCCCTATAGCCCTCTAGCCCTATAGCCCCATGGTCAGATAGCCCTATAGCCCCATAGCCCCATGGCCCCATCGCCCTATAGCCCAATAGCCCCATAGCCCTATAGCTCGAAAAAGACTTGGATTGGGTTTTTTCTCCGGTATCATTCAGATAATATTGGTTATGCTGGCTGTGTTTGTGCGTTTGTGTCTATATGCGACGCGATATTGCGTGCCTGTGTGTGCACTGCCTATCAAGCACATGGTGTCGATCAGTTGAGAGATATATCATTATGCTCACTTGGCGGAGTTATTGGACCAGGTCTGTCCCAAGCGAAATTGGCAACGACTCTTCATATCGGGCGGAAATTTGCCGATGGGAACCTAGATGTTCCTATGTAATTATGCCGATGAGTGTCACACAGCGGGGGCAAACTTGTGATGGCTTCTGTTCCAGATTAGGAGCGCATGAATTGCACTCCAAAGCGTGAGCCCAGGCCACAGTGTTAGAACCGTTGTGAAGTGTCTTACCCGAGATTTATGCAGGGTGTGCGGCCACCGCTCGCCTGTGGCCATCCTTTGGCCCAAGGATACCGTGCCAAGGGCCCAGCGGTCCGCGCGGGCGCGGCTGCCGCGATGGCCTCGGCTGGAGGCTTTGTGGCACCCAGGGGCAAAGGTGGGGTCCCATTGCAGCCGAGCTCGAAGGCGCCCGCTGCGAAGCCGGCTGCCGGCGCTGCCGTGGCCAAGTCCCCAGCGAAGGCACCTCCCAAGGCTGTCGTGGCGAAGGCCCCAGTGACGAAGGCAGCCGCGCCCCCCGCGCCCAAGCCGGCCGTGGCAAAGCCGGCGGCGGCCAAGACGCCAGCCCCGCGGGCCGTGGCGGCGAAGCCAGCCACGGCAGCTGCGCCCGCCAAGCCCGCGGCACCGAAGCCAGCCGCGCCGAGACCGGCCGCGCCCGCCGCGGCGACCAAGCCGGCCGCGCCGAAGCCCGCCGTGTCAGTGCCGAAGCCCGTCGCGCCGAAGCCTGCCACGCCGAAGCCCGTCGCGCCGAAGCCCGCCGCGCCGAAGCCGGCTGCGCCGAAGCCGGCCGCTCCAGCCGCTAAGCAGGCGGCCGCGCCGGAGAAGCGGCCAGCCCCGAAAGCGGATGTCAGCTTTGAGAAGGCCCACAGAAGGCAAATGCACACCACCACAACGCCAGCAGAGCCCTACCCTCAGCATCGGGTGAAGCAGAAAAGCATGACCGCCTTTTTTTCGCCGCCTTCGGCATTTGGAGGGTTTTTCCTGGCCCTGGGACCGTCAACTACATCTCGGGGTGGGAATTCTGGCCCCAGGGAAGTGGTCGAAGTCCCAGGGGGGCCGACGTCGAAAACACATATGCAGCGCCGGATGAGGGGGCACACCTTTAACACTACCACGCCAGCTCAGGCCTGCTTTGGACCAGATCTTGGCGCACGCGGTTTCCTTGTCTGGACAGACATTAATAAGGGAGGAAAAGCCACCCGGACCCGATAAATTGTATGTACTACAGGCCTTGGGCGTTTACTGAACAGCCCTGCCCTGTTCGATTCCTTCTTTGGGTGCGTTTCCTAAACTGCCTCTCTTCTCGGGGTGGTTTTTACGGGGGTGGATTTTTTACCCTCTAAGACCTGCACCGAGATCTGGGCCTGAACGGTCTCGAGGTGGCTTGGTGACGGTGGTGGCGTGCATTCCGCGGACGACTTCTGTGCACCGTACTCCGTTGGCTTCTCCTAAAGCGCCATCGATCCTCGACCCAGTTGTCAACTCTCAGGGCCGAAAAACTATGCACGAGCGGGGCCTGCAGGGAATCCAAACATGGACACGGCAGGTTCGTGTCACGTCGACGCGGCGACGACCCCAGCGCGGGCATCCAAGGTTGAAAGCCGCTAGCGGCCCAGAATCGGCCGACCTCGAACGGTCTGCGCTATCGGAAAGCCTCGATCGTTCAAAGTCGAACGATCCCCGTGGTCCCAGGAGCCAATGCCGGGATCGACACGACACCAACATGCCACACGGTGCACGGGCGCCGTGCCCGTGTGTATTTGTTCTCCCCCACGAAGGGCTACGTGTTCACGGGCAGCGCCAGCGAAGAGCTGAGGCTCTTCGGCGCCCCGGAGCGGGAGCTGGCGCAGATGAAGAAGCACATCTGGCGGGCGGAAGTCCGACGCCCGTGCCCAAGAAGTCAGCCCGCTGGGTGTTGCCAGACCCCCACCTCGTCTCGTCGCGAAAATAGGGGAACGAAGAATGACATAAACATAAAAACTCAGAGGTCCGCACGGATTTCTCCGATCCGCGCTGGACCCCCCTGGCGGCGCCTCCGGCGCCGCCCCTGGCGCGCTCCGCGCGCCAGGGATGGGGGTCCAGCGCCGATCCGAGAAATCCGCGCGGACCTCCGAGTTTTTGTGTTCATGTCATTCTTCGTTCCCTTATGCCATACCCCCATTTCCTCTCGTCGCGAAAAAACGCGACGGGAGGTTGTTGGCCGTTTTTGGCCGCTGGAGTCTCGCCGGGCCTCGGAGCCGTCAGAAAACAGCCAGGGATGGAGAACCAGTCCTGGGGGAAAGGGTTCAGACCTCTGGGAGTCGGCGTTGCGAAAAAGGCACGACGTCGGAGTTCTGGGCAGGGTCACCTTAGCTTTTCCAGGAAGGCCCACATGTGGCCTCCACGCCACCGTCCGCGATGCACAGAGGGCGCCAGGGGGTCACACGCGGCGCGAGAAGTTAGAGTTAAGTCGGGCCTGTCCCCCTACATGGGGATTTTCGACGAAAAATAAAAAAAATACCCTCAAAATAGTCAAAAAATAATCCAAAAATAGTCAGGGGACTATGTTTGGTGTATTGTTTGACCTTTTTGGGGCATTGTTGGGGTATTTTTTATTTGTCGTCGAAAATTCCCCTGTAGGGGGACAGGCCCGACATAAAGTTGGGGGCAGCTTGGGCCAGGAACACCTCCGGCAGCCTCCGAGTGCGGGGCCTCCTGCTCCTCGTGCGAGGGCCCGAGGCACGGGCGGGGGGAGTTCGGCTCGGCCGCGTCACCCCAGGGACGGTGCTCTTTCTTTTCAACAGCCAGACGCTCAAGCTGACTGGGAGCTCTCCCCAGTGCCCTCTCCCTCCGCCCCTGCCTCCTCTCCACCTTCCTTCGTCCTTCCTTCATCCCTCGCAGTGTTTTCGATCCGAGCGATCCGATTCGGCATCGTTGCCTCACGGCCAGCCCGTTCCGATTCGATTCCGATGTTCTGGCGATCTGTTGCGGCCCGATGTATACATGGGCTTGTTGGGCATCTAGGCGCTGCCGGTCCGATCGACCTGGATATCGTGCCGATGCAGCCCGCTGTGACGCAGATTCCGATTCGATCCGATTTTCCGATTCGTCGTTGATTGATTATGTTTTCTTTCGCTCTTTCTCCTTCTCCTCCTCCTCCTCCTCCTCCTCCTCCTCCTCGCTCCTCTGCCCTTCTTCCCGCCTTCTCCCTCCTCCCTCTCACTACTCCTTTATATTCCTCCTCATCGTCCTGCCAACGCACCCCTCCCTCCTCCACTCGCAATTCCACACTCCTTCCCCTCCGTCCTTTGCACCAGCCCTCCTCCTCCTTCTCCTGTCTTCTTAAACCAGCGCCCTCATACTCATCATCACCATCATCAGCATCCGCATCATCATCATCATCATCATCATCATCATCATCATCATCATCATCATCATCATCATCATCATCATCATCATCATCGTCATCATCACCACCACTATCGTCATCACAACCATCGTCATCGTCAACATCAACAGTATCCGCGTCGTCATCAACATCAACACCACCACCATCATCATCACCCTCATCATGACCATCATCATCGTCATCGTCACCATCATTATATCCACAAGCATTATCATCATAATCATCATCATCGTCGTCATCATCATCATCATTATCAGCATCCTCATCGCCATCACCGTCCTGATCATCATCCTCATCGTCATCCTGAGTATCACCATCATCATCATCATCATCAGCGTCAGCATCCTCACCATCATCACCACCACAATCGTCATCATCATCATCATCAGCACCATCATCATAATCATGTTCATCATCATCATCGTCCGCATCAGCAGTAGCATCAGTATCACCATCATCATCATCAGCATCAGCAGCAGCACCATAATTATTCACCGTTCGGTATAATCATAATCGTCAGCAGCACGATCCACATACTCGTCATCAGCATCGGTATCAGCATCATCATCAGCATCATTATCATCGTCATCATCATCAGCAGCATCATCATCAAAGTGTTTGTCATCATCATCCGTCTTCTCTTCTTCCTCCTCCTTCTCCTCTATCCGCCTCCTCTTTCCTCCTCCTCCGCCTGGTTCCTGATTCATGCTGTCTGAAGACATCCACGAACGCAGCCCTCCACCTCCAGGGCTAGTCGGCCCTGGGGGCTGACCAAACGAAAGCCAGGCAACCCCTTGTTGGAGCACCGCTCCGAGGGCCGCAAGCTGTGGGAAGTATCAGTAAAGACAGGTCGAGGTGACAGACAGTCCGAAGGACAGGGGAGGGGGGAGTGGGGTGAAGTCCTCCTGTAACATGTCAATGTCACCAATCGTAGCGATGTCGGTCACAATGTCCATGTTGCTGGTTGGGGTACCGTATAGTCGATGCGCTCCTTCTTGCGACCTGTATTGTATAAGTGCCCCCCCTGCACTCCATTGCAGCGTTGACCGCAGCCAGATGGTAGGTCGAAAGGAACTCGTGGAATCGCGTGCCAGCCTCGTCTTCCTCGAGTCTCTCGCCGTGGTCTCATATTGAGTTTGTAACTTGTTCCACGGTTGTGGCGTTCGCGTCGGCCATGATGAGGTCGATGTTGAATGTGTTTGTCATGTTGCTGCGGTTTGTCCAACGTTGGTCGGTCTTCTCCTCCTCTGACTGGCCGCGGGTCGCGCGCGCAACTGCCACCGTCCTCCGTAGACTTGGGCAATGCGCACGGCCAACAGTCTCGGATGTTGGTGCAGAATTTTGAAGCGGTTGGGGCGCATGTCGCTCTGTATCCCGTTCTTCTCCGCGTGAGGCAGGTCGAGGTTTACAGGTGGCGGGCATCCTAGGTTTTAGTTGTCGCCCCCGCTTCTTAGATTTCGTGCAGCCCATACATTATGGTCGTTCTTTTCGGCAGTCTGGTCTCCTGCATGCCGACGAGGTGGATGCTCGTGTGCTTAAGTTGGTGGCTGATGACCCCTATCTTCGTTGTCTTCCTTTGCAGTTCCCTTCCTGTGTGGGTCGGTTATTTGAATTCTCAAACGTTGAAGCTAATGGTGTTGAGGGTGGCGGTGGCTTCCTTGCTGGCGTGGTCTTGCCTGGGTTCGAAGTGCTCGGGTGTAGCTGTAGCTGTAGGCATTCTAGCGCTCAAGCCGTGGTCAGTGAGGTCGGGGTATGCCCTCCGAGTATTGTCGTCTGCTTGCTGCAGCCACTCCCCTTTCCTGTGGTGCTCGGCGTTGAGTACGTCAGCCTGTTGTGCTTGCGGGCTTGCGTCGTCTCGCAGGCTCTGCCCCTTGCCAAGGAACCGACCAGCTCGTTCCAAGGGTGTCCTTTGTGAGCGTTGACGTGGTCGGTGTGGAGCTGGGTGGCGGTCGATGCTAGCTGGTGTAGTTGGTTGGTGGTAGCGACGAGGTCGTAGATGATGTGCGGTATGTATCTGCGTTTTGCCAATGCAGTGGCAGTTTGTGAGTCATTATGTACGGTCGCTGGCGCGTTGTTGCATGTCGGTATCTGGCTACAGATCCATGCATATGCCCAGATTTGTGCCGTCAGCTCCGAGGTAGTCGATGTAGACTACTTTGTGCCAGTCGAGGTGAAATCCGCGACTTTGGCTGCCATGGTGCCGACGTAAGCGAAGCCGTCCTCGTCCTCGATGGCGATCACCACAGCCTATACATTTTTGATAGAGTCGTTCTGGTGGGTGCCGTCGGTGTATAGGTGCATCCGCTTGACCGTTACACATGTCCTGGGAGGAGCAAGTTCGAGTGCCATGATGGCTGCTGGGTGGATCTTTTTTCTGGCTCGTGTAGGTCTTCCGGGGAGGTGCGACTGAGTACGTCGGCGATCAGTTCAGCCACTGAGGAGGAGGAGGAGGAGGATGAAGTTGGATCGAGCCGCTTCTCTCGCTGGGCACCTCTCTGCGTGGTCTCCCTGTGTCTGGCCCTCTCGCACGGGGCAGGGTTTCTCACCAGCTGATCTCCGTCGTTGGTGGACGTGGCGGGTTGTGACCGCCGTAGCTGGTCCTTCAGCGCGGGCTTGCGATATCTTGCTTCTGCCTATGAAGTGGCCTTCTGCCATATCTGTTGGACGGTGATCGTGCGCTCGTCGAAGTTGAGGTAGGTATCCCGCATCCTCCTCCAGTTCTCGTACGCTAGTTCGCAGTCGTGTCCCGTCCGTCGCCCGTGCTGGTGTCGTGGTGCCCTGTGGCTCCGTCAAGATGTTTCTGGCAATGGTCGTGGTCGTCGTGGGTTAACTACGTCGTCCGTCTTTCCAATGCCCAGAATGTGGGAGCTGCCTGGCTTTGCATGTCGTCTGAAGGGCGCCGTGGCAGGTCCACGTAGTTTGTCAGGGCCTCGTAATTCCCCCGTCTTAAGTGCGTCCTCCATCAACGGTGGGAGGGCAGGGTCGTCCCGTTGCGGTGAGTCTTGCTGGTCTGGGTCATGTATGGGGGGGGGCTCCACATTCACCATGTGTGGCGTGGCCTGTGGTTGGTCCAACGCCGCTTCGGAACCGTCAGTAGGATTCCATGGCATCCCCACCGATGCCGGCTGCGTCGTCACCCACAGCTAAGTCGGTGGTCTCGTAAGCGTCGTTTATTCGCGGCTCGCTGGGGGCGATTGTTGCCTTTCTTGTCCTTCGTGCGCTTGAGCTCTTTGTTGTGGGTGCAGGGTGTTTCCGCTTCGGTGGTAAGGATGAGCCTCTTCCAGGCGTGCCGATCAATCTTCGTAGAGGGCCGATGAGGGCCGATAGCTTGCTGCGTCATCTCCTTCGCTGTGGTGGTACCGTCGTCTCTTTTCGACATCAAGAACGGGGGGTCGACGTCGATGCGGATGATCTCAGTCGGAGGGTGCGGCTGCCCTGGCGGCATGGACCTTATAGACCATGCTACCGGCGTGGGGCATTCCTGCTCGTCATTGGTCTGCTGTGCTGCAGATGGCGTAGTCGGAGCTCTTGGTGGTCTCGCCGGCGTGGAGGGGTAGTACAGTCTTGGCTCTGGTGTTACAGATTGTGATACGGGTACTCCGAATACGTCAGCCTCCCTGACCATCTCGTCGCTCTGGGTCTGAGTGGGCTGTCTTTCCTCATCTCTCACTTGGTGGGTCGTCAGGGGCTGTACTGGTGGAAAAAACTGTTGTGGCTCCTCGTCGTCGGTGGGAGTGCCCGTGTGGGGTACCTGTTCGATGGCGTCGACCATCTTCACGTTGTCGAGGTGCTCTTGTGCTATCATTGCATCGTGACGAGCTTGGATGTACTCCTCGGTTGCCTCCTCTGTGCGCTTCTCATGCGTCTCCTTCATGTTCCTCCACTCGTTTTCTTTCTGGCGGTAGATACAGTCGGCCCGGAGGTCGACCCTGCCATTTGTGTCTTGTGCCTCGCGACACGTGCCTTCGTACACTCCTATGGCGATGTGGCCCTCGGAAGGGTCTTGTGTCCTCTCGCGTGTCCTGTCCAGTCAAGGCCGACTGTATATATCCCGTGTTGGAATGAATCATGTTGCTCTGTTGTGCCCACTTCAGCTCTCTGAATCGCGAGGTGTGCCTGCTCCTCCGCCGGTAAAGCCTTGCAGTGCGCCCGCTGCTCGTGTGTGCTCACGTCGGCCAGCACGTTCTGCAGGTGGCCCTCTTGTTGTTGTGCCTGTCCTGCATCCCTCCTTCTTACCCGGCGCTCGATGTTATGGACCGTCTGTTGGTGTTCCATGTTTGTCTGTTGTGCTTCCCTGAGGCACTCGTCGGGGATCCCCCACATGACGTTGGCACCCAGCGGTCTCCATCTGTTGGACATACCCCACATATCGTTGCTTCCGTGTGTCTCTGCTGTGCTCGTAGCTCCTCATGTGCCTTCTGTCTTTTGCTTTCCTCCTCGGCCCATGTGTGCTGGATCATCATGTTGTTGTACTCATTGGTTTTGCTGTCTACTGCATTTCTGTGAGCTTCCAGAAGTTGTTTCTCGATGATGGCGCGGCCCTCGAAGTTGTAGATGAGTCTTTCCTGCGCCTCTCTAAGCTCCTTCTGCAGCTGAACGGTCAGCTCATGGCCGCGATCGGTCTTGGAAGTGGCGCTGACAACCTCACGCTTCTCCTCTGTCCTGGTGCGGGCTTGTATGTTTCTTTCTTGCAGAAGCTCCTGCCTGGTGAGCAGCCATCTTCCCTGTGTTGAGCTTGGAGTTGTGGGGTCTCTGCCAAGACTTCCGCGTCGTAGTGCTCGGCTCTTGCTGCTTCACGATCCTGCATGTCGACATCGTCATGAGCCGCTTCCTCCGCTTCCCGCAGTGGCTTCTTGAGGGCGTAGATATCGCTGGTGGCCTCTGCCGTGTTTTGTTGATGTCGGTTGCCATGCGCTGGTTGTCCTCCTTTAGCGACCTGAGCAGGGTGCCGATGTCCTGTTCTCCGATGGTCTCCCCAGCCCTTGTTTGTCTTAGTGGTGCTGGTGTAGGTGTTCGCCTTGGCGGTGCACCCTGTTGTGATTATCAGCCTCATCGTGAGCCGCTCCTGGTTCGCCGTAAGTGTCGTCCTTGGCGGTGCCAAGGTGTTGAGCTCCTCGCTATTGTTCTCCAGCTCCTTCATGTATATATATATATATATATATGTATATATAAATGGTTATGGTGGGCCTTGGTGTGTTCGTAGAAGTCCTCAATGGTCCCCTTGGTGTTATCGATAACCCTTGCCTTTTGAGCTAGAGGCATGCTGTTGAGGATCATGGCTTTGCTGAAAGCGATCTGCGTGACTGCGTCGGTCGTGGGCAAGCCTGCTGCAGTGTTGTTTCGCGATAGCGGTTGCAGCACGCCTCTGTTCCATGTATGCGATCGTATTCCATTCTCTTCTAAGTAAACTTGGGTTCGCTTGGTGACATCTCCCAGTCGTGTCTCTTGGTGGCGTGGGTCCTCCTCATTGGCATGACGTTGTTGATGGTGTAGGCAATGTGGTTGTTGTAGTCCTGATTCGTGTCATTATTATTCGTCTTGGATGCCTGCTCCTCTTCTGGTTGGGGCTTTGCCTTGACCTTGCCGTTGTTGGTCTTGCTATTGTCCTTCTGGCTCTGGATGTTGGCCTCGTAGTCGTTCTTGGCGGCGTTTCCCTTGCCGTTGTGGTTGTTGCCCATCCCGCTGTAGGTCGGGCTCCAGTACGTGTCGGGGTGGTCCTTGACCCACTGGTCCGCCCAGTTGTAGTTCCTCGAGCGCTCGAGGCCTGCCCCGTTCGCTGGTGTGGTGGTTCGTGGTGTCAGTCCCCTACTTGGAGTACGGCTCGATGCCAATCTCCAAAGTGGGGACGCAGTTCCCGAGCCACTCGCGGTTGATCCCCGTGGTGCAGCCACGGTTGGTGCATGAGGTAGATGTCGTGATGGTTGTTGGGCGTTGTGGTGCGCTCGAAGTAGATCTCGTGCTTTGTGAAGCCGAAGTGGAACACGGGCGTCAGCACGCTGTCGTTGTAGTCGCTTATGCCAGGCAGGTGATTTAGACTTGGATCTTGCCGTGGGTGTAGACGTGGCCCCTCGCCAGGGACGAGATGAACGGTTCAGGTTGTGGATGTCGGCGTATATCGCGGGCCTGATGTGGCCGCGAAATCTTGAGGGCCTGTCCCTCGGGAGGGGCGGGTTCGGGCGCACGCGGCTTCCTCCGCCTCCTCCTCCTCCTCCTCCTCCTCCTCCTCTTCCTCCTCCCTATCCTCCCGCCCCTTTCTTCCACCTTCCATCACCCTGTTCCCGCCTCCAGTTCCCCACCCTTCCCCTACCCATAGCTTGTCCAATAGGCTTGTCCAGAAGGTGATGCGCGCGGCCTCAGATTTCGTGTGGTTGTTTGCCGCCTCCCGTCGTGCTGCCTGCATGTAGTCGTGTTGCTGCTTCGTCCTCCTCTTCCCACGCTTCTGTTGCAAAGCTTCTTGGGCGTCCTCTTGGAGGCCTCGAGGGCGGCCTCCAGAGAGCCTTCTTGACGGCTCCGACGGGCTCTGGGAGGCTCTCTGGGAGCCTCTTGGGGTCATCATGGTGGAGGTCCTGGGGGCCATCTTGTGGGGGGAGCTCCCCAGGCCCCGGGTCACTCTTGAGTCACTCTTGGGGCCCTCCTGGCGGCTTGCTCAGCTATCTGGAGAGCCTCTTGGGTCGGCTTGGGGCTCTCTCTTTCTCTCTCTCTCTCTGTCTCTCTCTCTCTCTCTCTCTCTCTTGGGCCGTCTTTTCTTGGGGGTCCCTTGGGCCGTCTCGGGCTGGTCTGGGGGGGGGGCGGGCATCGCGGGCCGCCCAGCGCTTATCGGAGCAAGAAGCATTTGGAGGCTCCGCGGGCCTCGGAGGTGCGCAGCAGGTGAGCTCGTCGCCGCCCCGCCCCCCCCCGCACTAAGGGACTTTAGACTCCCGGGCAGGGGGGGGACAGCAAATCACTTCACACGCCTGCTCACCCCCAGTAAGCAGGGGTCGGCGGCTTCCCATGTTTGCATTCCCTCCTCTTGCTGATGTCCTCCTGCCTTCTGGCGGCCTTTTCCCTTCATGTCTGGTTTCTTGCGAAGGCCTGACGGCCAGTGCCGCCGACCCTGAAGAGGACCACGACGTCGGCGACGAAGTGGGCGGAAACGGAGGCCGTGGAAGATGAGGAGGAGGAGGAGGAGGAGGCGAGGAGGAGAGGGAGGAGGAGGCTTATTTCAAGAATTCCTCCTCCATTCTCTCCTCTGATCCCCTTCTTCCACCGTGCGCCCTCCTGCCCTCGTGCCCTTTCGCACTCTTCTCCCTGCCCCCTCTTCTCTGCCCATTCGTCCTGCCACGCTTCTCACTCCTCAGCATTTCTTCCTCCGTTCTCATCCCTCCCCTCTGCCCCTCTCCTCATCCCCAGTTCGTCGCTCGCTCCATCCTGCCCTCTCCCCCTCTTCATCCAATCCTTCCTTCAGGCATGTGTCATCCATTGCACCATCTATCACGCCTCCCCCCTTTGCTTCTTCCCCCCCCCCCGCCTTCTCACTCCTCTCCAATTCCCCCCCGCGAGGAGCTTCGTGGCCGATGGCCTCCCGGAAAACAACATCGCGGCCGATGCGTTCGGCGGCAAGGGGCCCGCCCAAGTGTGCGCCAAGGCGCTCGACACGCTGATGGAGGCCAAGCTGGCCAAGCGCATCTTCGGGGGCCCGAAGAACGCGGCGGACGTTGCCAAGCTGCGCGAGGACACCTCCTCCCTCCCTCCCTCCCTCCCTCCCTCCCTCCCTCCCTCCCCTTCCTCCCTACCTCCCTCCCTCCCCTTCCTCCCTCTCTCCCTCCCTCCCTCCCCTTCATCCCTCCCTCCCTCCCTGCATCCTCCCTCCTCTCTCCTTCGTTCTCCCCAGTATGTCCATCATCCTCATCACCACCACCACAACATCAGCATCATCATTCACATTATCATCAGCAGCATCATCATCAGCAACATCACCATCATCATCAATCACCCACTCACAGTTATCATCACAATCAACAGGAGCATCAGCATCATCAGATTCATCATCATCGTCATCCTGCACTTTTCATTGTACACCATCGCCCTCCATCCTCCTCCGTCCGTCACCCGTCCCTTCTCCTCTCCCATTGTTTCCTTCTAAGGTTCCCAGAAGGGTTCCTCAGGGTCACGAAATGGCAACTCTTATTTGCTACAGCTCACCAGCTTGCGGAGAATGCCCGCTATCGTGCCTGGCCTCGTGCGTGCGGGCATGCTGGATTGTGAGACGTTGCGACTGTCCTTGTGTGTACGCCTACTGCCACGCAGCGCGCTGCAAATCATCCAATCTTCCCGCATCTGGATCAAGGGATGGGGGCGATCTCCAAAACAGTATTGCTGCACAGCTTTTCAATGATGCCGTGCCGGCACCAATTCCGTGACGCATGCATTTGTTTCGCGACCCTGGCATAGTTTTTATATGTATGTATCAGGTTTGACAGACAGTAGGAGGTTGCGTGCGTTCGGCAGCTGCAGTTCGAGACGTACGGTGCTTTGCATGTTCCTTGTCTTCTCCTTCCCATGCAAAATTCTACAGGGGTTGGCGCCAGGGGCGTATCCCTGCGGATTTACAATCGCTCTCCAGCCACGAGTCGTCGAACCTATCGGAGGCCTCGAGACGGGGTCAATGCAGAGGGGGTCAGCCAGAGCGCTGGATCTTGCAGGATCCTGCAGGGCCAGGATCGCACTGACCTTGGCTTGGGTGCAGGGTCCCGCAGGATCTTGCAGGATCCTGCAACGCCTGACTGGCCCGGGTCTGCATTGAACCGGGCCCGTAGATCCCCGAAATTACGGGGCTCTGCGCATCCTCACCAGTGGGTCTCACTGCGTGACAGCGGCGCCCCGCACGTGCTTCTCTGGGGCCAGGGCCCCGTCGGGGGCGTGAGGCGAGGGAGGAGGAGACGGAGGAGGAGGAGGAAGAGGAGGAGGAGGAGGAGGAGGAGACGGAGGAGGAGGAGGAAGAGGAGGAGGAGGAGGAGCAGGAGCAGGAGGAGGAGGAGGAGGAGGGAGAGGAAGAGGAGGAGGAGGAGGGGAGGAGGAGGAGGAGGAGGAGGAGGAGGAGGAGGAGGAGGAGGAGGAGGAGGAGGAGGAGGAGGAGGATGAGGAGGAGGAGGAGGGGGAGGAGGAGAGGAGGAGGAGGAGGAGGGGGAGAGGAGGAGGAGGAGAAGGAGGAGGAGGAGGAGGAGGAGGAGGGGCACGCCGGCACGCCCACGCACACACTCTGCCTCCGGCGGCCGGGCGACAGCGCCACGGCGAGCTCTGAGGCGGGGCACGCTCAGCTCAATTACCACCCGACGCTGCAGATGGGGGTCCTCCTCCTCCTGCTCTTCATCCTCCTCCGCCTCCTCCTCCTCCTCCTCCGCCTCCTCCTCTTGCTCCTCCTCCTCCTCCTCCTCCTCCTCCTCCTCCTCCAGACGCCGGCAGAAAAATGCGAGACTGCGAATGCGCCCACGCACACTCACAGACACACACATACACACAAACACACGTTTCCCTCGGGCGCGCTGATAGGCTTCACTAAGCGGAACAGGACGAACCATGACAGGTCGCGTTCAAAGTGAATCGACCACCATGCGTGGCAGCGCGAACAAGGTTGGAACCTTCAGCGCGGAACGGGCATTACCGACCAGTGAGCAGCCAAGACCAAGCGCGCAGGACGAAAATATACAGGAATCTAAAATGATAAGCGCTAGCTGGGAAGGGAGGGGGCAGAGAAAGAGGGAAGCCGCAGAAACACACACACACAAACAAACACTTCTCTCAAGGAGAGCACACATGTTGGCCCGTGCGCTGTGAGCAGAGTCCCAAGACCACAAACACAGGCCGCGAAGCTCGAGGTGCGAGAGCATTGACACGCAAACACACACACACACACACACACCACACGCAAACAAACATTGCACACGTGCTCACAAGAGGGTAGGAAGGCGCTGGCTGGCGAGTCTGGCGTCTCCATGACGCGTTGCGCCACGGCGCCGGCTTAGTACAGGTTCTGGGAGCTCTCTATTGAAAGCTTGCTCGAACGATGAATTCCCCCCATGCCCCGGACCCTCCAAGTGGAAAGGGAGAACAATGGACGAGCGTCTGATCACCTCATCTTGAAGCCTCGGGAGGTGTTCTAGAGCAGCCCAGCCCACGGGAGCACACGGTCGTTCACCTGCAGGTGCGAAAGAGCATCAGCGTGCTACGAAGATCCTGGATCGTTGCAACAGACAGGCGACGGACGGCATATGCACGAAAGCTTTCAACTCGCAGTCGCGATGCCCAACTTTATCCAAGCGCTTCGCCCACTCCGCCGGCCCATGCTGCATCCGCGCTGGCACTTGCTTGCATGCTCGAGGGGTCTCAGAAGGTGGTGTGTGGCGGTCGTTTCCCTGAGTCGTCGCGTGAACCTCATTTGGGGGAGGAACAGTGGAGTAGGGTAGTTGCAGGGCAAGACTCAATGGAATGCGCCCCACCGAGGTTCCGTCAATGAATCCCGCCGCCGTGCCTGGGTCGTGAGGCCTGTTGTGTGCTTTCCGGGTTCTTTTGGGATGCTTCTCGAGAACCTCTCGGAGATTTCTTGAGGGCTTCCTGGGTCCTCTCGGGGGCCTTCTTAGGCCGTCTTGGGCTTTTTCGGGGGCCTCTGAGAGCATCTCTTTGGCCGCCTCGGATGATTGAGGGATGTTACATGGATTCTTTATGGTGGGGCCTTCTTGACTCCCTTGTTGGAGAGGGGGCTTCTTGGGCCGTCTTGACGCCATCGTGGGCCGTCGTGGTCGGGGCCTTGGGGCGCTCCTGGGGCTTCACTGGGGTCCCGAGGCTCGCGCGCAAGGAGCTCTGGCATCTCCTACAGGACCTTGCCAGGAATTTGCGGGGACTTGAGCGAGGTACATGTCCTCTTTCGGCGGCGAAAGCCGATCCCTATCCTCGCCGATTAACAACCCAGGCAACTCGATGGGCGACGGGGGTAGGGTTCGGAGCTCGTCGAACACGTGGCAGACTCCGAACCCCACCTCGCCTCCCATCGATTCGGGGGAATCGATGGTTGATCAAGGTCGGGTACGGATGCCGCCACGTACTCCTGGGACCCCCAGTAGCCGCCACGCTCGCGCGAACTAGTAATCGATGTGCCTCGATGTATAACACACACGCTCTGAACTTCTGACCGGGAGCTTTACATGCGCTTGGCCCGTGGGGTTGGTGGCTGGCGAAGAGTGCACGACCTCGCCGCACATTTGGCAGATGGGATCCATCATCGAAGCATTCAGCAACGTGCGAATATGTTTCCTGATCGACGCGACAACATGGGTGCCAATTAGTTATCACAGTGAGCAAGACCGTCATCAAGTGCAAAGTCATGCAGTCAAGGGTCGCATGCAAGCCGAATATTCGGTTGGCCAAAGCGAATACGCACTCACTATCGAACCCTCTTGATGCCTACGTACTTGTTGGCCAAGCACGCACTGTCTACAGAGATCACCGAACCTTTGTCCTGCTATCCATCCACAACCGAGAAGCGCCGATCACGACCTGGCACTGCAAACGACATTCGGTAGTCAAGCATTCGGGATTTAGTGAGATCATGGCGACGCTGGTCTTCGAAATCGCATCATCGTTGCGGATTGTTCTTTAAAGAAATTAATATAGCTGCTTGCGGCAAACCCCGCCACCGTGCCTGTGCAATAGCGCTGAATGTATGAGCCGCTAAATTCCGACAAGTGATTTGATAAGGACGGTTCGTAAACTCGACCTCGTCTTCGTCCGCGCGGTAGGAAGGAGGTCGAGCCCTCACCCCGCGGAAGTTCGGCGAGTGGTCTGAACTGGGGACGGTCGCGACCCCGACATCGTCTCCGTCCGCGCTGTAGGGAGGAGGAGGAGGAGGAGGAGGAGGAGGAGGAGGAGGAGGAGGAGGGACGGAGGAGGAGGCCGTATCCAGTTTGGCTCAAGTCTCACGGCCCTCACCGTGAGCCCCTACTTCAGAGGTTCGAGGTCTAACAAGGGGCAGCCCCATCTTAGGCTTTCTGCCTCGGCCAGCTTTCCGCTTCTGTGAGCTCCTGGTGGAGCAACTTCCATATCACCCCAGCGGGGGCACATCAAGACTTGAGCAGCAGTTGGCCCATGGGCACGGATGGCCGCACAGTCCCCAAGGGGTCTAAGACACCATTTTGGGGGCGCAGGCGGTGTGGCAGGGCGTCGAATTGAGTTTCGTGCGTCCAATGCGCATGCGGGGCCTCGGCACCAATATCGATTGCAGACAAAGCTATGGCGGCTGACAAGACGGCGGGCGGGGGAGGGGGCAAAACCAAGAGTCCAGCTCCCCTTGGGGGTTGGTCAGCCAAGTTGGAGGCGAAGGCGAAGCAGATTGCAGCACCCACATCCAAGCTGGACAACATCACTATATGTGGCAACGGCGGCGGACGCCCAGCAGGGCAAGCCGCGGATCAGAGTCCGAAGCCGCGCCCGAAGGAGGTTGAACCACAGCAGCGCCGGGAAAAGGATTGAGACGCTCGGGAAGGCTATTCAAGTCATGGCTGCGGAGGAAGACAGGGCAATCATTGAGGGTCTCCAGGCCAAGGTCAATGATGCTCGCACAACGTTGCAGGGGCCCAAAGCCACAGCTTACGCAAGGCATGAATGCTGGGCACCATCCCTTAGAGCTGGAGCGGAAGAAGGCTCTGGCGATGCAGTTGAAGAAGCACGAGGCGGCGATCGAG